TAACTCCTCCTTACTATCATTTCATTCCTGAAATGTTTGTTAGCTAATTGATGTTTTTCCACCTCCTTGCACCATCCTTTGTGGAAAAAACCTCATTGTCTCTGTTTCACTCTTTTCCAGACTGTTCCGTTTATTGTGAACAACAGAATTTTCCAATGAATATTTCCAAAAAGAAGAGATTGCTTTATAATGCAAAAAGTGATTCACTTTATTTGGTCTTAGCTTGCACTGACTGATTCATAGAAATTTCTTTTGAACAACCATGTTTTTCTATAACATTTATAGAAACATCTATAGCAATCACAGGGCTCTTGGCCTCATGAAGTCTCAGAGCACTCCCAAGTGCAAATATACAAAACATAATACTAATAAAGATATCCAATTGGCTTTAATTTAATTACTTCAATTTTGTGCTCATAATCCTGGGAATGGAAATGCCAAATTTTATTTTCAAAAATAAAGTTTATTTTTATTACTTAGAAAAGTAAAGCTGCATTAGAAGAACATGATTTTGTTTGTAAAGTCATCTGTTCAGAGGTTAAGAAATCCCAGATGAAAGCTTGCTGTGCAGCTGCAAAAGTCTGCTGCTTTATTTTACCTAATGACTGTCTAATATGAGATACTTAAAAGGCCTGCAACAGAAGCTGAAACACAGGAGTCTCTGGTTCTATTAATTTTTAATCATTGTACTGCAAAAATGTACACTTATATTAGCTCTTTTATTAGAAAAGCTTAGTGACAGGGTTTCAAAAGTGATACTGCATCAGAGAAGCGAGTAGCCTGGTGGCGATAGCACTTGCCTGCATTTGGTTGCATATTGCTCGCAGGTCATCATTCCCCAAACACACTATCTGGCCCCAAAGCCAGCCTGAGAAAAACCCTGCCGTCTTTTACCCTTGGCTGCTTGTACCTGCTCCTCAGCTGTGCCACTACAACCATTTGTAGGGCTCTTGAAAACCAGATGACCAAAGTGCTTCAGTCTACAAAGCAGCCTTTCAGTCGCAGCGGCACAACTGAGGGACAGTGAACAGCAGCATGGGCAGAGAGGAGAAAGGGAACGTTTTCAGCTGATTTTTCCATTACAGAAAGTGTAATGTCAAACCATACCCGCAGGAAGAGGGGAATTTTAACACAGGACTTGTACATCACAGATGAGTGCTCTAACCAAAGAATATGAGATGAGAGAGTCACTTGAATTCCTGTGTTGGAAAAGAAATACATGAGCTTTTTTTTCAGTTAGAAAAGAAGAAGAGCTGGTTGGCACCTACCTTCTGGTTAAGAATTTGAATTCTGAATCTGAAACAGAGAGAAACATCTCCTAAGAAGCAGCAGTAAGGGAGCGTTTAAAGCTTATCGTGGATCTCTTGTCCTTTTTTTCCCTTTTTTTTTCCTTTTCATTTAGCTGAGTACGGCAAGTTTTCTCTTAGAAGTTGTGATCAATCTACTTATATGTACATCAATCACTGCTGTTACTAGGAAACCATTGGGTTTTTCCTCTAAAGAATTGTTATAAATAAGCACCATGTCATGAAATAAGATCCTTGTGTATACTGCCTCTGATTCCAACATAATTAAGATCAGGAAAAATCTAATTTTGTTGTAATTTGCCAGGTTACATTAAATTATCTTGATGAATCATTCATACCTAATTGCTTTGGACTACAGCTTCATTGCATTCTATGATCCTGAGAGTAAATTTAAATAAAGGATGAAGTAAACTGAATATTACCTTTCCAAGGTCCTGTCCTAGAACAGAAAAAAACCCAAAACATTTCATACGTAAGCCACAGGAAAAAAAACTCACTCAATTCTACTGGTATCTTCAGGTCACAAAGTGTGTGTTAATCAAATTCCTCTTATGCTGACTTCAGAAGAACAGTAGAGAGCAGTTTTGTATTCTTGAAAATAGCTGTGGTACCAAAGAGCTGCAAAATCCACAAACAGAAGAGAGAAGAATTCTTCTTCTCCCTTAACCTTTAAGACCCAAATGTCACACAGAAAATACTATAGAAGCAGGAAGCTTAGAAAGCTGTGGAACTTAAATTATGTACTGCAAAAACTTTTCCTGTATCTTTAGTTTCGAAATCCTTACTGGTGACAAAGTGTAATTGTGGAGATGCTGCAGTGCCTAAAACCCCATAAGGCTAATCAGCTGTATGAGTCTTAAGATAATATTTAGTAGGAATGCAAATAAAAGAATAGATCATCATTTCGAATTTCCAACGAGATACACTAAATTTTAAAAAAAGCTGAACAAATCCCTGTATTTTGGAAATTTACTACTTAGGAGTATTAAGCCACCTTGGAACCATTGGACTATTTCATTATTTTACTACCATTATTTTTTGATTCATTTTATTTAAATATATTAACACAGTTTATTGTTTTTTTTCAAAAATTAAGTTGAAAGTAAACACATTACATATACACATTCATTCCTAAACTCACAAATTCTCTGTTACTCATGGCTTTCTCATTTCATTTGAACCGATGTCCTCTACTCTCTTTGTTATTATTTCCATATATTGATGTCATACTCCTTGGTTTGAGCCTCGACCAGGTGTCTTAGATCTTTTGGCTATGTTGAGTGTGTATGCTAGTTTTGACTGGGATATAGTTAATTTTCTTCATAGTAGCTATACAGAGAAGAAGAAATCACTTAACCTCATTAACCCCTTTGGTTACAGAATGGCTAAATTCAGCCCTGTTGTGAGATTTAGCAGCTGCAAATTTTCTTTCAAAGAACAGTTAGGGATGTGCTAACAGCTGAAGCACGCATCTAGGAAATGGAAGACCTGAATTTAATTTCCTTTTTAACTTTAATAGGTTCAAATTCATCTTCTATATGCTAAGAGACTGCCTTGATACCTTGGCTAGAAATTACTTTAGTAGGGGCACTCTTCATCACTGTATTAAAGCTGCACTATTCTACTATTCAAAATTAATTATATGAGATACAGCACATAATACAAATAGGCCTGAGTTTAGGGAACTCCCTTGGTTGGCAAGTGTCTTTTCTCCTGCTCATTGGCACAGGGACTGTTTTTGTGTTTTACATTTTTTTGATAAAATACATAGAGAGAATGGAGGAAAATGGTAACTTGACATATTTTATTTATCTTTATTGGTAGGAAAGAGAAAAATTGTACAGAGCAAATCACAGGGCTGGATTAGCAGTTCTCTATGGCCCTTAAAATATATATGATTCTAGCTTCTGGGTAAAAAGAAAACAAGACCTTACATCCTTAGAAAGAAAAATGTCAGTTTTGGAACACAAAATTAAAACCTACAATCATGGAACTTTCTATAGTTAGATTTGCATTAAATTGAAACAAAAATATCTAACAGTAGTTGTGATGCAAATCCCCCCAAAAAAGTAAAAATGTATGAAGGCCTCAATATCATGGTTAAAAATTGGTCAAAGCAATAAAACATGTAAGACTGTTCTCGAACAAAGTATTATCAGTGCTTTTGCTTTGCAGCTGAGGCCTCACAGCCACCATACATTTTAATTCAGTTTGATGCAAAAGTTCTTGAAGCAGAAAACATCTAAACCTGACATCTCAGTCAGATTTTGATAGCCAATGTCAATTTAACCCAGTGAATGAATTGTAAAAATACACATACAAAATTCATCCTGCTTGGTCATGCTATGAAAGGGATTTTTATGACCATTAATGTGCCACTGGGAATTCAGTCTCTAGTTTTATTGTCTCCAGTATCACTGAGATATACTTTTAATTCTATTTTTCATTTAGTTTTGTTTTTTTCTCTCTTGGTGCCAGTATTGCTCTGATAGACTTATCTTCAGGGGGATCACAATTTTTTTTTCATGAGGCAGTCAGTAACACGTTATAGCCAAACTTTTCCAAATACAAGTTTGGACAAAATTTTTGCCAAATACAGCGACCATCATTCTTGCTTCCAGCACTACTGGGGCAGTCTAGAAAGCTGCTAGCTGTTTTGAAACATTTCAACATGAGCTGAGTTCCTCATCATTTGGTTCTATACTCTGTTACAGCTATTGTTTAATATTTCTGTGGTTGAAGGAAAAACATGATTTTGCATTCCTACATATAATACACATTTTAAAGGCATTTTTTAAAGCATTATCCGAAACCATTTTAAAGCCAGACTTCAGTATACATTTCCAAAAAAATGAGAATATACGTTGCATGAAGATTCGCACTTTGGAAATTAACTTTTAGTTACTAATTAAATCTCAATTTCAAAAGGGAATTTTGAGATAGGAAAATGATCAGGTTACAGAATTGGGTCATAGGAGTCATCTTCTGAGTTTGGTCATTGTTTTTTTAATGGCTTTTCATACATGGTTTCCCATCTCACACGCTGCGAGTGAACAAGCCACAGTTATATGAGATTCACAAACCCGTGTGAGAAAACATCTCGCACATCCTCTTCCCAGTCCGTGTTCTGTCACGTGGGCCATATCCCACCTCCAGTTCATTTTGAAATTATGATGATGCTGTGTTTACCTGGCAAACTGACATCCTATTCGAAAGACAGTAAGTACATGAAGCGGCGTTTGTGTGACAAATCCCTTTGGAACCGCTGGTGTTACTTCCACCACTTAAGCAGTGCTTCAGATAAAGAAGAGGTGCGTTTTAGTTCTTTATCAGCTCTAACTAACAAATATAACTGAGATTTATAGAATAGCAAATATACAGATATGATATTCTGGAATTTAAAAAAAAAAAAGTAATTCTGAGCCTAAATTATGCCTGAATTGGGTCTGGGACCTTCTGCCTTTGCTGGGCACCCATCACCCGCTGGTGCCCTCATGCAAGGGCAAAACCCTTCCCTGCAGCTCCAGAAGGGCCTGATGTGGCATGTCTCCTCTCAGGCACCCTGGCACCATCAGGTAGCGTGAAGTCAGCCCATCGGAGTCCATGTCCGTGGCGAAAGGCTTCAAGTAAATTAAAAGTAAATTAAAGCCTAGTTACATTTTTTGTGTTCATGTCGTTCCCCCCCCTCCACAGGTCACAGCCTCGGCTCAGCGAAGGTGTCCCGGGCACAGACATTTCCCAGCTACCCCTCGGAGCAGGACGAGGAGCACCAGCAGTCCCTCTCCCT